GTTTGTGCGGGGAGAAGGGTGCAACAATGAATGAATGGAATCCCAAAATCTCTGTAGATGTTCATTGAAATGAAAAATAAACAACCTAAATTTAAAAAGAAAAAAGCTCTTTGCAATGAATAAATCATCAACTGTACAAAATCCAATATTCTACACAGAGGTAGTGATATAGGAAAGGCCTAGCAATATGCTTCCATCAGGATCACAACCTGGAAACCCCCATGGGACAGGTCTCCTCGAAAATGCAGGTAGGTCCCATGAGATGGAATCAACTCGAAAGCAATTAAAAACAACATTGTTAAACTGATGCTGTCAAAATGCAGGGGAAATAATGCAGATAAATGCCTGTTTTGTTGTTGTTGTTGTTAGGTGTCATGGAGTCACAGATGACTCATAGCAACCCTATGAACGAAAGACCTGGACACTTGCATAACTTTCATCATTTCTCTGGGTTCATAGGGTTTCTGGAGGTTTTCAGACAAATGCCTAGTAGACTATAATAGCCAACATTGCTTTGCTTTACTCTCAAGGAGATGAAAAATGCTCTTCCACTGTACAGATGACAACTTGGGAAGAAAAACATCAGACCTGTCATATCTGCAACTCGGTCTAAATACCTGGCCACAGCCAGAACTCCGGGGAGCTCAAGTCAGAACAGGATCACGGGGATGGCCAGGAAACAACACACATCTCAGAAGTAATCACTGCTTTGCTTGAATATCAGTGACCACTAGAGTTAAATTAAAAAACAGAGCTTCTCAAACTATGTACTGAAGTCCACTTTTTCTCTTAAATTTTCCAATCTACTGCACACTGAGACTTTTATTTATACAAAAAAGAAGACACACAATAAATTAGTACAGAAGACTGGCAAAAACCATAACCCATGTTTTATACAAGGTTCACACCATCCAATTGCTGGAAACATTTCCAAATGCTCAGTCTTTTCTCATCTTGGACAGGACAGCCTGGACTGGCCCCAATCAGCAGACTATACAGAAAAGGCAGTTTAACACTGTCTGCCCCCCACCGCCCAAGCCCTCAGGGTATTAGATGTGGTCTTTGTGACCAGGGATAGCCACTGGCTTACTCTTCATGACACGAAGGAGGAAAGAAGCACATCTAACATACGAGGGAAGGCGGGAGCTCAGAGAGTTTGGGTCCTTTATCTAAGATCACACAGTAAAGGAAGTGGCAGAGCTAGAATCCAGGCCCGAGACTCCTGGCCTCACGTCTGTGTTCTGTACTCCCTGTTGTCTCCCTGACCCAAACTCACTACCGCTGAGTCCATTCTCACAGCCTAGAGGACAGAGGAGACCTGCCCCACCAGGTCTTCATGGCTGTAATTCTTTATAGAAGCCAACTCCCACCTCTTTCTCTAGTGGAGTAGCTGATGGATTTGAACCACTGACATTCTGGATAGTAAATGGAAGTGAAACAGTTGGCTGCTAACTGAAAGGTCAGTAGTTTGAATGACTAGTCATCTAACGGAAGAAAAAAATCAGGTGATTTGCTCACACAATGATTTCAATCCTAGCAGATCATACAGGGCAGTTCCACTCTGTCCTGTAGATTGAGTCAAAAATCTATTCAACAGAATAAAAAAACAATGAGATGTCTATTAATTGGTTCATTAATGGGCACTTGAGTTGTTTCCATCACTTTGCTACTGTGGAAAATGATGCAATAAATATGGGTACATATTGCAGTTATTATTCGCACAATGGAGTATTATGCAACACTGAAAAACAATGAAGAATTCATGAAACACTACATTGTGTGAAAGAATTTAGAAGACATTATGCTGAGTGAAAATGTCAGTCACATAACACCAATATCATAAAAGCAAAGCTTACACACAGAGAATCACTCTAGTATAGTTACCAGGAAGAAGAAGGGAAGTATGGGGTGGGGATGTAAAGGGAGAAAATGAATTAATTAATAAACACTTATTAAGATGGATGAATGGATGACCCCACATTGTGGGTGCTGTAATTAATTTTACAGAAAAATATATGCATGAATGACTGAAAAAAAATATACTTTGTAAATTTTATTCAAATCACAATTTTAAAGAAAGAGAGAGAGAGGTGGAGGTGGAGGGAAATTCCAACTCAAAGTAAACAATGGGAATCCACACAATTTTAGGTTTAATTCTTAACCAAGGAAGTAGCATCACATCATTAGTTCATCCATACGTAACTAAGCCCTTGGGTTTTCCCATTGTTTCCTTCCTGTTTCCTCATCTTCATTTTCATTTCCATTTAGAATCAAGGAAGGTAAAGAAACCGATTAAGGTGTCTGGAAATAACTTGGAAGATGCCCATGAAACAGAGACCTGGAAATTTTCTTGTATCTGATTTTTTTTTTTTTAAATTTCACGATCAGTGAGAGCTGAGGCTGGCTGAATTGTCGATACAGCTTACCTTGCCCGACAGCCGAGTGCATTTTCTCCATGTCGAACTTAATTTTTGACCTTCCAGGAGTGCTTAGCATCTTCTCCCACACCGCAGTGACTTCTTTAAGGCAAGGAGTGATTTCTTCATAGTCAAGCTTCAGGCGCTTGTTCAGCAAATCATTTTCAGAGGCTGGGAACAGACCATTTAAGGGCTAGTTAGTAACCAGGTAGACTGACACAGTGGCTGCTGCAATGGGCTCTGCGTGTCAGGAACTGTGAGGATGACAGAGAATAGAGCAGGGTTCAACTTTTTCTGCTCAGAAGGTCGCTCTGAGTTGTACTCTACTCGACAGCACCTAACGTTAACAAGAATATTGCTGCCTATCCAGGCTACAGTCTTTGCAATTACGTGCTATGCATCGGAGAGTTGGACAGTGAACAGGGATGATAGAAAGAGAACTAATGCCTTTGAGTTGTGGTGCTGGAGAAGAGTGTTGAATATACCATGGACTGCTAGAAAAACAAACAGGTTTGTCCTGGAGAGGGTGAAGCCAGAACGTTCCCTGGAGTCAAGGGTTCTGAAGCTTTGTCTGACATACTCTGGCCATGTTGCAAGGAGGGACTGGTCCTTGGAGAGGGACATCATGTTTGGGAGAGTGGAGGGACGGCGCAGGAGAGGAAGACCCTCGATGAGATGGATCGATTCTGTGAGTGGAGTGGTGGGAATGAATGTGTTTGAGACAGCGAGGTTGGCACAGGACAGAATGGCGTTTAGGGCTCTTGTACACAGAGTCCCTATGAGTCACAAATGACTCGGTGGCACATAACAATAAAAACAACAGGTTATCTATACTAAGGAGCCAGCAGTTCCATGTAGATGAGGTCCAAATCAAAGCCACTGTTCTTACCTCATGCTACTTTTACTAGTTTCCCTTATCCTGGTGGACAACAGAACTTCCCGACTATGATATACTAGGAAGAAAGGCCTGGAAAACTACTTCTGAAACTAAGCCAATGAAAATGTCACAAAACACTACCCTGAAGTTGGCAATTGACTGTGGGGAGGTGCAAGACCAGGCAGCTTCTCATCCTGTTGTGCATGGAGTCCCCAGTCAACTGCAGCTAACAAGAAAAACCATGTATCAACTGAAGGCCTTAAACATTTGATGAAATGCAATGAAGTACCTTTGCCTACAGTTTTCTTGGGTGAAGGGTTTTTCAACACAACTTTGATATTTTAACAGATACAGGGCTATTTAGATCTTTCTCCTCTCACTTCAGTTGAGGGAGCTCTGGTGGTCTAATGGTAAGAAGCTGTGCTACAATCCCAAAAGTGGGTGGTTCAAATCCACCAGCAGTTCTGGGGAAAAAGGATGGGCAATCTCTTCCTGTGTGTTTAACTGCCTCTGAAAACCTGTTGTAGGGGAACATATGGATCAGTTCTGACTCGACAGTACATAACAACTTCATTTCTAGAAAACTATCATTCAAGAAGTTTGCCTGTTTCCTCTAAGTTTTTGCAGGTATTGGCATAAAGTGATCTTACTGTTTCATTATTGTTTTGAATGCCTGTGGGATCGTGATAGATAATTAATCCATCAGTATGATACTTAAGATTGTCTCCCCACCCTTCCAAGCAAAAAGAACATGTGTGCATGTGTGCGCACATACACACACAACCCTGATTCATGGATTCCATACTTACTAAGCCCAGTAATTGCTTTCAAATGAACTGCAGGTGTGAATGACACTGAAAACACTGAAAAGGCCAGGGAGATCATTTGGCCAACCTCTCACCTCACAGAAACGCTCATCTAGTATAGGTTTGATGGAGGTTTTTTGGTTGGGTTGGGGTTTTTATTTTCATCTAGTAAGTTTTTAATCTAACATCCAGCACTCCTCATTTCCTACTTTGAAAAATAAAATTTTAAGGTTCTGTGAAACAATTCCCTAACTTCTCTAGAAATTTTTGTTTGCTTGTTTATGTGCATTTGGGGCATGTATCCTCTATAAACATCAGCCCCAGAGGTTTCTGGATTAGAGAAAACACAAGAGATGTAATTAAGAGTTTAACTCTTCTGTGCCAAAACAAGCTCAGAAATCCTCTTGTTGGGCAGCAACAAGAAACGGTGTGGGCTCTCAGAGCAAACACACATTAACTTCTCTGATATGACTGCCTCTGGTTGCCTTAGCAGAGCCCTGCAAGAAGCTGAGGAACTCCTGGGGAAGCAGCAGGATTTCTATATATAGACATAGCTGGGCAGGTGACTCAGCCCAAAAGTCTCAACCCATGTATTTCATTCACCATTATTCTGAGCAGCTCCTGCTGTTTGAATATCTTGAAATCACTACTCATGTTGAATGTCAGTTGTTATGTGCCATCAAGTCAACTACTTCTCAGAGTGACCCTATGAAGAGTAGATCTGAACCCTGCCCTATCCTGTGCCATCCTCACCATCACTGACATGCTATTGTTGTTATGTGTCTGTGACTGTAGCAACCCTATGCACGATAGCTCTGAACCTTGCCCTACTCTGAGTCAATGTCACTGCTACACTTGAACCCATTTTTTATACTGTGTCAAATGCCCCCAAAAACGTCTACCACCTGTGTTAGAAGCATCAGAGTTCCACGGCAAGAACTGCAGATGCACTGTGTAAAACAGTAAATGACAGCCTATAAACCTCTGTTGGTCATGGGGCTAGGAGAGGGGAACCAAGACTAAATGAAATCAAATGTCACTTCTCAAAAGAGTCATTTAAAACACAGCCATTGCTCTGACAAGGACCAAAACTCACTCCCTTGAGTTAACTTTCTGTCAAGCAATAGACAAGTCCATAAGGCCATCACCATCGCAGGGGCAGTCACATAGAACAACCAACCAACCAACCAACCAACCATGTAGGGTCAAGGCCATGGGCCCATGGACAAGGCCTGGAGGTCAGGAAGGGCTAATAAAAGGATTCACAGAGATGAGAACTGCAGTGGGGAAATGACATGGGGAAAGTACAATTACATTGTGGGTTGTTGTTGTGTACCACAGAGTTGGAAGTGACCCCTAGGTGACCCTCCAGTGGGTTTTCAGAGGCACAGGAGGAGACTGCCCATCCTTACCCCATGGAGCAGCTGGTGATTCGAACTGCAGACCTTCGGGATTGCAGCGCAATGGTTAAACAGAAACCCAGTTTGCTTTATAAACTTTCTCTCAGGTATAAATCAAAATAAACCCATAAAACATCTGTGACTGTGTAGGGAGTTGTGGTGGTGCAGCCTGCAGAGAGATGCACTGCTAACTCAAAGGTGATTAGGGTAAAAGGTGCTTAAAGATTTGAACTCTGATACTTCAAATCTACCAGAGCCTCCACAGGAGAAAGATGAGCAGTCTCTTCCTGTGGGGTTTACAGTTTGGGGAACCTTGAAGGGTCAGCTAAGAATCAGTTCAGCTCAATGGAAAGGAGATGGTTATTATTAACCCATGACAACAAATCTATTCCAATTCATCATGGTCTTACACTCAACAACCCCTCAAACTCACTGCCACCTCATAGCTGACCCTCCAGCAGGTTTTCAGAGATTATGAATCAATCACAGAGGAAGAGACTGCCCATCTCTCTCCCTTGGCGCAGCCTGTGGATTTGAACCATGTGCTTCTGGGTTGGCACTGTGACTCTTTACTCGCTAGGCTTCCAGAGCCTCTTAGTGATCTTACAGGAAAGCAAAAACTGTCCCATTGGGTTTCCAAGGTTGCAACCTTTACAGAAGACTGCCATGTCTTTCTCCTGTAGAAAAGTATGGGGAGGTGTGAGCCTTCGATCCAGAAGGCTAGTGGTTTGAAGGCACCAGCTGCTCTGTGGGATAAAGTTAAGGCAGTCTGCTTTCACGAAGACTGGCAGGCTTAGAATCTCTCTGGGGTAGTTCTCCTCTGTCACGGAGTGGCAAGGAGTCAGATGTGACTCAAGAGCAGCATGTACTGCTATTCCACATGGATGTACAAACATTTGGTCTTCAGGACGAAGGCTCAGGTCTGAGTCACGTCCACACTGCAGGGTGGGCTGCTGCTGCACCACCCCTAATTCAACTCCATTAGTGACTACGCTTTCATAATGAAACTCTCTTGTTAACTGCTCCCCTCCCTTAAATGCTTAGAAAGGCCAAGAGGCTGGTAAACTCAGCAAGGGATGACCCCAAAACTGCAGCTTTAGAATGTAGGACATCCCATGTTTCTACAGTGCTTTCTCTAATTAAGAAGAAAAACCTCCCAAACTCTTAAAATTATAATGCCTGAAGGTATGATTTAAAATTCAATATACTATCATATCACTGGGCAGATGTAATTTTGCAATCTGAATTAAGCTTGAAGTACTTCATTATAGGAATTTGACAAGTAGTAACATGTGGACCCCAAGCCAAGGAAACTGGATCGTTCTCTGCAGCCTATGTCAAGCTGCTCATCTCTTCACGCATCCCCCTCACGCACTGCCCTCGAGTTGATTCAGGCTCCCAGTAAACTTTCATTGAGCTTCTGAGGCTGTAAATCTTAATGGAAGGCACTTGCCCATGTTTCTCACTACCTAAGTGCAAGACAGCTGCCCCTGTTTCTCATTACCTGCATGCAGGATACCTGCACGTGTTTCTCAGCACCTGCATGCATGATACCTGCACTTCTTGCCCATGTTTCTCAGTTCCTGCTTGCATGATACCTGTCCATGTTTCTCAGCACCTGCATGCACGATACCTGTACTTCCTGCCCACGTTTCTCAGCACCTGCATGTGTGATAACTGCCCACGTTTCTCAGCACCTGCATGTGTGATACCTGTCCATGTTTCTCACTACCTGCATGTGTGATACCTGTCCATGTTTCTCAGTACCTGCATGTATGATACCTGTCCATGTATCTCAGCACCTGCATGTGTGATACCTGCCCACGTTTCTCAGCACCTGCATGCATGATACCTGCCCACGTTTCTCAGCACCTGCATGTGTGATACCTGCCCACGTTTCTCAGCACCTGTATGTATGATACCTGTCCATGTTTCTCAGCACCTGCATGCATGGTAACTGTCCATGTTTCTCAGCACCTGCATGCATGATAACTGTCCATGTTTCTCAGCACCTGCATGCATGATAACTGTCCATGTTTCTCAGCACCTGCATGTATGATAACTGTCCATGTTTCTCAGCACCTGCAT